AGGTTTGGAGAATCATTCGTTGTGGGTTCAAGATAGCAAAACCGAGATGATTAAATAATGAAGAGTACACCGAGATACAGAGCTTTACCAAACGTCCAAGTATTACAAGTCCTCCAAAACATATTATTGAACTTTTGAAAATTAAATCATTAGAATCTTTGGGATTCGAAGTAAAAAGGTTCAAAAGAGACAAATTAAATGAAGATACTCATCTCCTGAATGATATTATTAATCAGTATTCAGGTGAAAGAAAAGATCTTTTTTTGGAAAATATCAAGATAACGTGTTCGATGCTATATCATGAAGATCCATTCACTGCTTTTTTCATAAAAGTTTTATCTTTATTCCATAAATATGTTTTTATACAAGATTCTATTATGCAACGCCCAGTTGTGTCAGAGGCAGTTTATGGAGGTTATTTGGTACATCTTTGCTTAAAAAAAATACTTGTCGGCCTAGAAGATTGTCTATATTATCAAATGTAAGTAGCTTTTTGGGGAGGTGATGCTTGGTGTTCGATAAGTACTGTATATTGATGTAATTTTATTTTTAAGGGGAGAAGTCATTTTATCATCAGTTAAATCTTGCAGAAGTCGACGAAAACGTATCAGCCCTTATGAACAAAAATCTGATGGAGTCTTCTCTGTGAAATTAACAAAATCATTAATTGAAGTAGGTCATTTAGAAATGAGTGGAGGATATGGGCATAAAAATATCCCTCGTTCTACGTGGGATGGTTGTTGTAAGCTACCGATTGGAAACTCTTATATGTTAGAAGAAATTGGCGAGCAGTTTCGGGGCGGTTCTCCTGAAACTTTTTCGAAGTTAAGAGTTTTTTCGATACACACTTATGGTAAGTATTTATTTTTTTTCTTAATTTCAATGATCTTTATTTAATTTTCTGTGTTTTATAGAGGATCGCATTGAGTTGTGGCAAATGTATAATCCATCTTGCGGTGTTTTGCAATACGAACGGTCACATAAGTCAATTGTACCAATTTGTTATGAAGATCATCGTAAACATATTTTTGATTTTGTTGTCCTCCTTTGGGATCTCAAGGTATAGTATGTGATATCTTCGACTTATGATTATTCTGTGATACTTTATCATTATCTTACCAGTCTCTTTGATACACAGTATGGATTATTGGAAACATCCAAAATAATATTTCAGCTGAGAGATGAAAATAATGATAATTTGTTCGAATCATCCAAACTTTCCGGTAGTCTCCCAGCGTATCCATTTATTCCAAGTAAAGATAAATTTATTATGCAACATTTGCATTATGTCTATCGAACAATATTTCGAAAAGAAATTGATTCCGAAGAAGACATAGAAATCGATCATAAAAGAAACTTCTATTGAAGTACCAAATACAAATATTACTATTTTTTTTGGATCCTCCGTCAGTAAAATATTTTCTTTCCGGATTTTTGCCCGGTAAAATTTGATTTTCTATTTTAATTATACAACTAATATTCAAAAATATCATTATTATTTTGAATATGGT